AAAACGCGTGGGAGACCTTCACGCGCTCTCTTCTAGCGCTGCGTGTCTAAGGTTTGGACCCAATGACTCCATAGTCATCCTAAAATCTAGACATGGCTATGTCCCCAAAGCGATTATCCCGTTAAGGGCTCAGGTTATTTGCCTATCGGCTCTACCCGCATCCGATAACGAATGTGACGCCAATCTCCTTTGTCCGGTTCGGACTCTGAGATTGTACACTACACGCGCTGCCGCGTTCAGATGCTCTGAGCAGCTTTTTGTTTCGTTCGGTGGGCGCACCAAGGGTCTGGCCACCTCGAAACAGACACTATCCAGATGGATTGTGGACGCTATTGCTTCTGATTATGCATAAAAAGACCTGCCATGCCCTCTGGGCATCAGGGCTCATTCCACTAGAGCCATGGCCTCATCGTGGGCATGGTCCTGCGGCATTTCCATTCAAGACATATGTGTGGCAGCGGGATGGGCTTCCCCTTCCACCTTTGTCAGATTTTACAATCTGGAAGTACCCGTCCTGCAGGCAAAGCTACTAGCAACCTAGTATGCTTCAGCTGTTATGTTGAGCTGCACTATTGGGAGTCACACTCATACAACCGGCAGGCCGCTTGTTCTTCCCTCATGTGCTTATGTACTACACAATCACCGGCCCGCTTGCTGGCCCTTTTATGTCACGTACATTATTTTCCCACTTATAAGGGTCCCCCGGGATCCCTCCCCGGGACTCATTGTGTATGCCTAGCGTGCACGGCGTTGACCAAGTGTTCCCGTAGCGTAAGGTAGCTTACGCAATACGGGAGAACCTCTCGTAAGAGAACGAAACGGTTACCTAACGTAACCTTGGTTCTCTCTAGATGAGGGAACGAGTATTGCGCTACCAGTGTTCTCGCTTCATTCAATGAAAAACGGAAAACAGCGGGAAACTCGCCTATTAGTATTTATAGACTCGGGCCACGCCGTTTGGTGAGCTCTGACGCAACGAGAGTGTGTCTGCTTCTCATTAGCCACGAGTTCAACCGAGTTCCCTCATAGGCTGTAGCAGTTCTCCCTGAGCGAACCAATGAGCTGCTAGCTAGCCCGCTCATGGTCTGCTGTAGTGAACTGCATTGACAAAGGATACAAAATTTTTTTTGGCTTCAACTTCTCAGAAAAGATGAATCTTTCCCGTAGCGTAAGCTAGCTTACGCAATACTCGTTCCCTCATCTAGAGAGAACCGAGGTTACGTTAGGTAACCAATTCATTAACATGGGTACGGAAACAAATACGCACCACATACACATTGCAAACAGAGTGTGTGTGAAACGGGCATTATGAGGCACACATGCAAGCCAAGGTTTCTCACTCTCTCCCTCTCTATCGTGGGCGCAATACGGTTTGGAGCACAGTTTTTTCTGTCTCAGCATGCATGTTTGCTCTTGTTCACTCACTCTAGATTTCGTGAGATTTTAAATAATTTGCGTGCATCAGGGAGCCGCTATGAATATGCGGGAGACTCCCGGCACTTCGGCGAGACTTGGGATGTCTGCAAACTGGGCTTTTTTGAAGCGCAAACGCTGTCAACATACCGGTAACTCACTGGAAATCCAAAAAACTTCCACACCTGCGACTTCAATGAAAGAGGAGTGGGTTCTGTCGACGGGTCTCCTGCATCTGCAGTTTCCATGCTATCTTTTGAATGGCTTAGAGGAGGGTTGACCATCACTCGCAGCTCTTTAACATGCGTGTTTTTTTTTGCTTGGCAAGCCGAACGGACGTTACATGGGGGCGTGGCAGCATCAACGATTTTGAATTAATTTCGACCGATTTCGATTTGAATTAATTTCGATCGATTTCGATTTGAATTAATTTCGATCGATTTCGTGACTTGACTTGACTTGACATTATGACCAAGGCAAGGTCTGAAAAAAAAAAACCCTGCATTGATTGAACGTTTAATATTTTTCTACATGAAAGCTTTCAGCAAGTTCAAATTATTTTATGTTTTGCTACAAGTTATTCACAAGTTTTAGTCAAGAATGTGACTTTTTCCGACAGAAATTTGTATGCACATGTTTTTGTGTAACAAAATGATCTTTCTCAATGACATGGGAAATTTTAGCTTTTTTTTTTTGCTTTTATTTTTCATATCTTAAAACTGCTGTCTTACATTTTATATAGATTTGTTTTATTTGTGCATAAAAATACAGAATAAAAGCATGTTTGATAACAAAAAGTGCATTATGTATTCATTATTATAACATTTACTGTCTGAAAAAGGCAGTAAATGTTATAATTAAGTACATTTCATTAACACAAATGAGTAAATTCTGCTTGATTTATTTGTGAGGTGACTTAAATTAAAAAAGCACATTCCACTAATATTAGATTCATCATGTGCCATAGACTAAATAATTCAGGACATTTTACTTAATTTATTCGGGTAGATCACACACACACACACACACACACACACACACACACACACACACACACACACACACACACACACAAAGAAAAAACACCTTAAAATCTACTCAAATATAATACGTGTAATATTTTCACCATATTTTTTTTAATTAGATACCATATAATATATTTTTACAGTGTACATGCAGTGCAGTTACTGTTCGTGTATGCGTATTGACAATTCACCATTATATGTGTTATTTTGAAAAGTGTTTTACTTTTTTATATATTATATTTTGGCTGAATTCTATTTGTTATTCAGATTTTACCTCAAGCATTACCTTTGAATTGGAACAACATAATTGAGATGTTAATGATAGAAGTTTTCTTGATAATCTTATGTTTACTGTGCCTAGATGGCAACTTCAGGTATATCAGACATTTCAAACTGGTTTATTTTATAGTTTGCTGGTTTACTCAAGTGGTAATTTTGAATTTTTGGGTTTATATGATAAACAGGTTCAAAAATGCAAAATTCCCTATGGTTTCGCTTAAATGGGCACTTTTAGCATCATTTTTCTCAAAAACTGCAAGATTGTGTGCGGAGAACTTTTTCTTAAGGAATCTCTTTATATTTCTGATGTTAAATAAAAAAAAGTAGGTAGTGCCCCACTTGTTGGAATGAAACCCTATTTCTAGGCCTCTTTTAGGCTACTGACAGCGGCCTATTCCTTCGTATACTTATTTATGTATTTATTTTTATTTAAGTCAGCTTTGGTATTCCATATATGGTGAAATCAGACATAGAACTATCCGAGCGGAACCAATACAGACCACTTGTTTGTTGAATCACCTGACATGACTTCTCTGGGACAGTTTCAAACAATGGTGCATCTACCTTATTTCTCTGTTTTGTGTGCTTATTTGTGTTTTATTTGTGTTGTTACTGTAACAATCATTAAATGACTTAAGAGTAAAAAAAATCTTGCCTCAGAGGTTTGATAAATACAGGCACTGTTTCTCTTTCCTTTAGTGATTCATAATGTAGCTTTAATGACTATTTACCAAATAAGGTTAGTGGACAACAGACTAATTAGAACACAATTATGAGGTTTAAATCATTAAAATATTTTCCTGCTAAAAAAGAACAGCCTGAAAAAACAACAATTTTAAGCCCTGTTCACACCCCCAGTGAATGTCACTGTATGTCGCTAGTCTCTGCACTTTGAAGATGCTTGTGGGCGTTCCTATTGCTGTCGCTCTAATGTTATTAGTAGACTCCACGTCTGTTCATATCTTTAAAAACTGCAATTACAAATTATACTTAATTCTGGTAAAACTAAGATATTATTCTAATTTGATTCTAATTATAATTAAAAGTAGCATTCTATTGTTGGAGAGTGTGTGATATAAACTACAGCAGTGCTCAGTGCATTAAATCATTAACCAACAAATTAAACAATATACAGCAAAATCCCTAGAGTTAAATGAGTATATGGTCACACTCTACACAGCGTGTTAAAGTGAATTTGAATAAAGATATTCTGTCCAAATCGTCTTAAAAAATGGGCAAGTTTAATAGTCACCAGACATCACAGCTTGGCATGTTTTAATTCAATTAGTAGATGCTTTAATCCAAACAATGTTTTACAAATGAGAATTCATATAAATTACACAATTACAAATGTCCAAATATGGCTAGGAGTAGGCTGTGTTTAATTAACTGCTATGTGTATTTTTCATCATGTTTACAGTATTCATTAAGAGCGTCTACAGAACAAGGATCTAACAGTAATTCCGTACTCTTTTCAGATGTAGTGCTCCTACCTAAAAAATAAAATAAAAAGGGTATAGTATCTGCTATAAAGTATCTGCTGTACAGTCAGTGGATTGGTATGCAAAAGAAACATCTTCAGGGTGATACAAGACCCCACTGCAAAATGATCTTGCTTATGCAGCTACTTATGTAGTGTTAAAAAAACTGGAACAGGAAGTGCTTCTGGACCAGTGTTGTTTACATCTTGTGAAATGGTTTAATGGTGAAATGGTAGATGCCTACAACTATATGGTCCTGTACAAGACTTGTGTGTATGATCTGCAGTTCTGCCTAGCCAGCGCCGAGACGACGACAATGTAAACAGTGACATTACGGTGTGATTTTAATCATGTAAATATTTTCATATTAATTTATACAGCATATTAATTTTCCATTGATACTTGCACAAAACAACACAATAAGATGATATTTAATAATAATGAAAGTAATTTAAGCTCCTTATTATATAGCCGAATCTGTGCTGGTTTGCATTGGCCTCCTCCAGTTTTCACTTTGTTTTGCCTCCAGCTAGCGCCGTGACGTAACTGTGACGTCGGCGCAAAAGGCATATCTCACCCTCAGATTACCAGTACAACGGTGGGTGATGAAGAGAGACCACAGTCTTATGTGTGCCTCAAAATATAAAGCTTCTGACAGTATGAAAGACAAACAAGTTAAGACGCCACTTATTAGAGACTTCACATCACAAATGGACAAGCCCATTGAAGTTAATTAGTTGTAATAGTACTGTATTAATTACAATGTTTCAAATAAATCCTCTAAGACTTTTGCACGTATAAGGTCATGTCTGAGAGTGTCTTCATGCACGTGTTTATGAAAAAATTTAGAAACCACTGTAATCCAGTAAAATTACACTGCGGTAATAAGAATTACTATTTAGAATGATCTTGTTTTTTTTGTAATTTTACAATGTCCTTAATTCTTATGAAAATGATCAAATAGGCTCTCCTATTTTTTCTTCTGATTTTGAGGTGAAACGTGCTGTAGTGAGATAAACTCTTATAGGGGTTTGATAGTGAGCGTCAGCTCTTTGCCCAGCGGAGGGACAATGTATTTCTCTTCTCTGAGTAAACGCAGTAACAGGTCTTTAGCATCTTCAGGCCACCGGTACAGACGAGTGCTCTGCAGCCACAGTGGAACATGACTCTGCAGAGAAAGCAACAGATTGTAAACTTATGGCCATCTTCATATATGTATATGATTTTCTTTTCAAATATGTATTTTGTCTCATCATCCCCATAGCAAATAAATTATGTTTTTGGAGACTTACTTGATTAGCACTGGGAAACAGCACTGGTACCAATCTGAAGTTCAAACATCTCTGCAGAATAAATTCATTTTGGATCTGAAAAAACAGAAACAATCAAAAACATGCACAGCTAACCCACACTGTTAAAAAAAAACCTAATTTCACAGAAAATAACTGTGATTTTTGACGACCATTTTCTTTCATTTTAAATTTTACTCAAAACACTGCAAAATTACAAATAATATCTGGAAAATAAAAATGCAGCTGATATTTTAGGTATTGTTACATTAAAGAAAAAATTCCAGTCATTCACATTTTTTTACAGAAATTGATTGTATTTTTCATACAGTATTTTTCTGTTTTCTTAAATTACATAAACATTTATGTAAAAGTACAAATAGAATCTGTAATTAAATGGTAACAAAACAGTTAAATGATTACATGACTGTAGCTCAAAAAACTGTAACATTAAAGTAAAACATCATAAATTAAATAAACTGAAAAACACTCTTATTTACAGGTATTTCCTGCATTATTATGATCAAATACCTTCATTGTAAAAAAAAAATCATAAAAAATGGTCAAATGACTGGCAACAAAGGCTGCCAAACAAAAACCATAAAATTAAAGTAAAATTTTAAAATTTAAATAAACTGAAAAAACACTGTTATTTAAAGGTATTTCCTGCATTATTATGATCAAATACCGTCATTGTAAAAAAATCGTTAAAAAAGGGTCAATTGACTGGCAGCACAGGGTGCCAAACAAAAACCATAAAATTACAGTAAAAATATGTTAATTTAAATAAAAACTTGACATCACCATGATTGAGATCAGTGTTTGCTTTAGTTGAGCTCTTGACCTTTATTATATGCTATTAGTTTTACTCTGGCTGCTTTAATTATGTTTTCAACATACATTTGTTCTAGCATTGAAAGCGGGAGAAAATATCAGCTGATATTGGTCAGTTATTGGTGATGTTATAGTCATCATATGGTGACCTGATTCACTGATATGACAGAGAAATACCCGAGTGTATCTGTTGTGATTACATTATAAATAGGTGTACTTAAGTTTTAGATTAAATCTAGGATTGTCGTATTTTTCCCCATGAACCTTGTTATATTGAAACAATATTAATTAAGTGATTAATTTAGTGATGATTGAGCATTGTTGAAGACACCTGGTGATAACAAGCACAGGGTTGCCAACTTTTGAGTTTTGCTTGGAGTGAGATTTTTTTTTGTGTGTGTGTGTGTGTGGGGGGGGGATCACAAGATCTTGTAGGGCACAATGTATAGTTTGTCCAATTTTAATTTGGCATTAGGCTAACAGTTTTACTGATTAAAAAAACAGTTGGGAGTAAAGTTCATAAATTATTGTTCTTTCCCATATGATTTATTAAAACTATATTGAGACCTATGTCCTTCTAGGGGGGTTCGGGGGCATGCTCCCTCGGAAGAAAATTTTGTACATTTTAAGGTTAAATGCATCAATCTGGTGCACTTTGAGAGCTCAAAATTAAGAGTTTTAACCGGCTTCAAATCATGAACTGTGACATTCAACAAAGCAAAAGCCTCGACTTGTACCTGGACATTAAAGAGTGATCAAACATCTTTTTAGTTATGATATAAAGTCTATGATATAAAGACTTTATGATGTAAAGTCTCAGTCTCTTTTAGGATGCAATAAACGATTATTATAATAATGTAATAATGATTTATATAATTATTCCTATTACATAAAATCCATATAGGCCTAGTCTATAAATGTAGGCTGCTGTATAAATGAAAATGAATATTTCAAAAGCATATTTTACTTACACTATTGTATAGGAAAATTACAATAGTTTTGTCCTAATTTCTTCACTTGCAAGAAATAAACCCTTGAGCTTTTATTTTGGAGAAAACACCAGATGAGAAGAGAGAGTAAAAGCCGGATTCGAACTCGGGTCGAACGCGTCAAAGTTTGCTATCAGCACCTCACGCCCTCGCCCTACGCCACTGTAGATATTTAGTGAAAGATATCTTTTTTGCTAAAAAGACAGGCACGTAGTGCAAATGTACGCTCTCAACTCACGTTCAAGGTCATAGGCAGCGCAGCGTCTCTCTGTGCATCGCAAAAGCCCGTGTTGACAGTTTGTTAATATAAAGCGGGAGATTACCAGATACAGTATTTTGCTCGTGCCCTGTGGATGTTGTAGCCTAGGCAACTGTATCACGTGCCGTTTGAACTGACGCGCTACTGCGTTCTGTCACATTTAAAAGCGCCAAAACGCTCCATATCAGGAGTAAACTTCTCTGTAGTCTGTCGGTGTCGGTGTCATCTTTTTCCGCGATTTTTCTCTGCGTCCAGTCAGTAGTTAAGAGCCTGAACTTGCTTATAGTAATACAAAAAAAATACAGCCCAGAATGTCTAATTTAGCGTGAGATTTCTATGTTGAGCGTGAGACCGTGAGATTGAGGCTGAATGCGTGAGTGTCACGCCAGATGCGTGAGAGTTGGCAACCCTGCAAGCAGAATCACTGAAGGAGAAAATCACAAATTGTAAGCCACCGTTATGGCGATCAGTGTTTGCTTTAGTTGGGCTCTCGGCACTTATACTTTCACTTTAAATTTTGTTTGTCTAATGTTATTGATTTATAACAGTCAAATGAACAAAGAAAAGTGGGATCTGACAGAGTTGGTTATGTTTTGACATATCATACTGTGATCTAAATGAAACCTATTCAGATGATTCGGTTTAACTAGCAACAGTTTAGTGGTTCTGCAACATATGACAATCTGTATTTTTCTTATAATCCAAAACATTTAATAAAAATTGTTCTGATCAAATCCCTTTATCTTTATTTAGAAACGCAGACATCAATAATCAGCCTGTGTATCTCAACCGTGGTGACAATAATAATCATTGTTGCCACCAATCACAACTCATTAATGGCTCATGCATTGCGGTATGAATAAATTATGATCTGAATTGTCTATGTAATTTACTTTTCCTAATTGAACATTCTGCTCGCCACCATTGTTGAGAAGCATTGACTGAATCTTGATATCTGTGTGTGCCTAAAAGACAGACTTTCTTTTTTGTGCAACTTTTAAGAAATCCACTATATTATATCTCAAATTCTGGGTATTTATACAGAATCACAGTTATAATGCAACCAACAACATAAGTCACAAACATTAAGTTCAAATAATGATTGTCATAATATAACAAAAATTATTAGATAATATTTTTTTCCTTTGTTCATCTGGCAGGTACAGCCAATTAAAATATAAAGTTTATAAAATAAGGGTCAAGAGCCCAACTAAAGCAAACACTCATCTCCATAACGGTGGCTTACAATTTTAGATTTTCTCCTTGTGATTCTGCGTAAGGTGTCTTCAATGATGCTCAATCATCACTCAATTAATCACTTAATTATCTCATTAACTTTAACACTCTTAAATGTGTACTCCTGTATCCCAGGACTGTTAAATTAACACTGACTGAGTTTTTGCTGTGACGAAGAGCCGTAGTTAGCTGACAAGCTGAGCCATAGTGCATTACAAATCAGGTGATATCACTAAGCATTCAATTACATGAAAACCATTACCATTAATAAGTAATCAGATCTTCTGAACTGAGATTCTCTTGGACTCCTACCATAACAAATATGTATCAATTATGACACTCAGTTAAAGCAGCCAGAGAAATAGTAATGTTAAAAGCAAAGGGTCAAGAGCCCCACTAAAGCAAACACTGATCTCCATCATGGTGACATCAACCTTTATTATTTTACATAAAAAATCAACTTCTAAACATCTGTCTCAGTAAGAATGTTAGTATGCAATAAATAAAGTCTGGATTGTTTCTGTATTGTGTGTTTTGTGGGTCACCATTGTGTTGAAGAGTAGAGCCTGTGCTTCAGTTCAGGATGAGCAGAATTAAACTGATGAAATGGTGCATGTTCCTTTATTTAACTGACAGTAACTGTGTAGTTGCTGATGCAGTGATGACAGTAAATCATACATCACCTACATGTTTCTTAATAAAAAATTCAGGAAATGTGTGAAATAACTGTTTCTGTTAAAAAGCTTAACGAAGATTTCTACTTTTGCACTTTGAATTTTACATTCATTTTATGTTTTTTGTATGGCAGCCATTGCTGACAGTCATTGACTGTTTTTTACTATGAAGGTATTTGATCATAATAATGCATTGTTTTTACAGTTAGAGTGTTTGATCGTAATAATCCAGATAATAGCTGTAAAATAACAGTGTTTTTCTGTAAAACAAATTAATTTAAATTAGGATATTTTACTTTATTTTTACGGTAATTATTTGGCACCTTTTGCTGCCAGTTATTTGACCCTTTTTTTACGATTTTATTTTTTACAGTGCAGAGGTGAAGTGCACTTATTACATACCAAAACTATAAGAGTATAAAATATCTTACATATACTGTAAGTGCTTACTGCTAGTGCTTACTAGAACCAGGTAGTTTGACCACATTTGCCCGGTTCTGTCAACACTACATTGGCTCGCTATTAAACATCGTGTACATTTTAAAACATTGCTAATTACTTAAAGCACTAAATGATTTAGCTCATCAGTACTTGAGCGAGCTCTTAACGCATTATAGTCCTTCATGTCTATTGCAATCTCAAAATTCTGGCCAGATAACAATACTTAGAATATCAAAATCATCTGCTGGCGGTAGATCCTTTTCCTATTTAGCACCAACATATTGGAACAGTCTCCCTACCATTGTCTGGGAAGCAGACACAATCTGTCAGTTTAAATCTAGACTATAAACACATCTCTTTGAGCTAGCTTATATGGGAATTAATCAATTAAAACTAACTTTAGCTGGAAAATAACTTTATTCTAGAGCTTCTGATTTACTCATCTTGAAGTCGTTCCAAGACTGTATGGCATTGGAATATAGCTGTGATCCGCACTCAAAATTCAAAATCACTTTAAAAATAGTTAGTTTATTGAATTTTTTTTCACAGGGTTATAATACAACAGACGTTTAAGCTTGCAGGCCTTCTTAAGTGTGTTGAATGCTCTAATCCTTTCAACCACTATTTAAACTATAAATTAATTACATTGATGTTGACCAGTGTTAAAAATCACTCAATTAAATGAGTTGAGTTCAATAGCAATTATCCACATAGAATATGATCTTGTTTAACACTTCCACCAACAATCCTCATGAATCACAAGACATACATTTTCACTAAGCACAATAACAGAGGATCCCATAATCAAACAAATAAACAATTGGTCAACTGAACAATCCTTATGCATTAATCTAGGTAACCACATCAAATTCACAGCAGTGAAAGATCTAATGACTGAAATCATCAGAACCAACATTGTCGACATTAACCAACACTGATCTTCACATTTAAAATACTTGATTTTTACAAGTGTCATATAGCCTATATCAGAAAACAGAAAAATCAAATTTTATGCCATTATGCAATTAGGAGCCAGTGATTTTAATGTATAAATACAAAATATTTATATTTTATCACCTATTTATATCACCTTTACGTGGTATGTCCCATTTCGTTGAAACAGATCCACCAAAAGCAGCTTTCACTGGCCAAGAGGCCGCCTGACTGACATGTAAAGCAACCAATCACGGTTCGTTTTGTTCAGCATCAAGTTTAGGTGCGTGAAAATGTAAAGTTGATGTCTCTACAGACTGGCATGTAAAACTCCTGGACAATGCTCAACAATAGCTATACAATTTAGTAACTTTCAATAGATCCGATTCTGTGCTTTTTTTTTAGTCCTGAATCCTGATTGAAAAGTATCCATATTTTAATTTTCTTTCAAAAAAATGTAACAAGTTGAATTTGAACCACCTTCTACAAAATTGTATTTCAAAACTATAAATTAAAATAGTTATAACATTATTAAAGTCCTGTGAATGTCCTGACACATTTAAAAAAGGTAATTAAACCCCACTGGAAAATGCCATGTGATAAACCAATATATACAATAAATTAGATGAGACAAATAGTGTCCACATCCTCTTTAAAGTGCCACAACATCACATGTAGAATTTTTTTAGAAGTCTTAGAAGCAATATGACATATTTATATACTCATATACTCTTAACAAGTGCACTAGAGATATCTCAAAGTATTTAAAAAAAAAGCAAAGTAGTTATAACTACAACATTGCCTGATCTAGATCTTACAAGATCAACCTTATATAAGCAGGTCTATATATAATGATCTGAAAAGACAGCTGTCAACCAACTCTCACCTGTGTGTGTATGTATTTGGTGTGTAGTCCATGCTGATCACATCCATCTCCTTCAACATCCATCTTATATTTTGGACTGATCACTACAATGATTAGCACTGACTTCTGCATAAAAAAATAAAAAACAGATTCCAGTAGAAAGCAGTGAATATAAACTTACTAGCAATTTTTGCCTGAAATTGCTCAATATTAATTCCTTAAAGAATGTGTATACTGTGATTATTGTCATAACAGCACTCCAGCACAGGTGATATTGTTTAATTTAACTACAGCCCAAGATTGATTACATTACTACATTCTGTACAAGAAATCAATTTCAAACTTTGTTTTTTTTCTTGTTAAACTTAATTAAAGGCACAGTATCAGGGTTAGAGTTACAAATGAGGTTTAAACAAAGAGAGAAATGTTTTAATAGTATCAAAAGTCACAGTATTTACACTTTTTGGAAGAAACAATCAATTAATTCTTACAGTATTTACATGTATTTAATATATTAAGCTGTTTTTCTTTTATTACACACATCACTTTTTAAAAACACTTCAGCTAATTTCCTGCCACTGTAATAATAATAATAATAATAATAATAATAATACATAAATTCTTACATTTTTCAGAAAACTGTCCATCCATTTGTTGATGTCCAATTCTCTAACTCTGTCTTCAAATATATCAATCTAAAAAAAAGAAAATGTTATTCGTTATTTATTATATCTATACACATGTGACAAACAATAAATGCTTAAATAATATAAATAATAGACACTGTATATAAGCAAAAAGTAGGAAATCTTACAGCCGGTCTGAATCCTTGATTATTCAAAAAACTCACAAAGGGAATCAACTCTGCTGCAGTGTCCACAGAGTATGTTATGAAAACATCTCCTAAAAATCATAAAAGTTATATAGGATGTCAGAGTTCAAGGTGATCTTAAAATCTGTCTTTGAAGCATGACTCACTGCAGTCATCGGGAAGACTGATGCGCTTCTGGGTTTGAAGCTGGCCGACAGCAGCTGGTTGGGACGGCTGGACAGACACTTCTGACATCAGCTCTCTCACAGGAGCTGTGCTTTGATGGGACGTGACCTGAGGAGGCCTCACAACAGCCTCTTGTCTGAAGATGGGCCTCAAAAGGGAAGCAAAACATTGAAATGTACAAGGCAGTTCTCAGTTCAGCTGGCAACCTGTAATGCTTGACAACTTTATATTCACAAACACGATTGCACTTAAAATATTGACTCATACAATAATAATAATAATAATAAAAAGGCAGGGCTTTAGCTTCCTCAATTAAATGGACAATGATATTTTGAAAGCATTTATAACTGCTGGGTTGTTTCAACTTGGGTCAAACATAGACAAAACCATTAAAAATTTAAAAAACCTAACAACTGATTTCAAATCTTATTTGACCCAAACTTGGGTGTGTAACAGACTTAATTGCACTCGAATCACCATGACGGTGACAGTCGGTCACAAAGTTGAGCAATTAACATGCGTATGTACAAAATCAAAATATGAACTTCCACTAACTTAAAGGTCCCGTTCTTCATGTTTTTTTGAAGCTTTGCTTGTGTTTACAGTGTGCAATATTACATGTGTTCATGTTTCGCGTGTAAAAAAAACATCTCGGTTACGGATGTAACCCTCGTTCCCTGAGTAGGGAACGGAGACGTTACGTCAGAAGTGACGGAGATTGGGGGTTTCGCATAGAAAGCCAATCCTCTTCGAGTATTTAAAAACGAGCCAATGGCATGCAATGCCTTGGGGCTGCGGAAATTTGCATAGCATACTCCGCCCTACTCCGTGAGTATAAAAGGAGGAAGTGAACGCAACCGCAGTATGTCTTCGCTGAGGAGCCAAGACTGAACTCGGCGTCTACCCAGCGATACAGCAGAAGTGGCAGGGAGACGTAACGTCTCCGTTCCCTACTCAGGGAACGAGGGTTACATCCGTAACCGAGACGTTCGCTTTCGTAGTCACTTCGAGTTACGTCAGAAGTGACGGAGATTGGGGGGCTATGCCATCACGCCATCTTCAAGCTGTCTTCCAGTGCCCTGCGAAAGTCTGGACCCCTGAAAACCTTCCTTAGGGGATCCCGCTTTAACACAGGAATACCAAGGTACACTGGGAACATATCCTGGGAGGGACATGCAACCAGATGCCTACCAAAGGGAGGACTTACAAATACGCATATGGCCGCAAGGAACACATATGGAATCACTGTAGCACCAACTGCAGGTGGCTACTGGAATTTAACTCCAGGGGTGGCAGATGGCTTGCCAAGGGAAGACACATGCTCAGAGAGGCTTACAGTGGAAATACACATGAGACAGTTACCATGGGGAACCGTGCACATGGAGGCACTTAGCCAGCATCCAGAGCAACAGCAGTGGTGCCCGCATCGTAGGTGCTGGAGGACTCAAGGCTTCAATGGAAGAACTGAGGAGATATCGCACTTATCCAGTCCGTGGAGTGGAATGGCGAGCAAGCGAAGACACCTAAGCGGGTCCAGTACCGGCGGAAGCGAGTACGTGAGAGGACACCGGCTCAATTCGCAGATTATAGAATCTGGCGAAGGTGTTGGGTGTCGCCCAGCCTGCAGCTCTGCAAATGTCTGTTAGCGAGGCGCCGTGCGCTACAGCCCAAGAGGAGGCCACACTCCGAGTGGAATGGGCCGTCACACCAAGGGGGCACGGACGGCCTTGCTGCTGGTAAGACAAAGCAATGGCGTCCACTATCCAGTGGGACAGCCGTTGCTTTGAGAGAGCCCTTCCCTTCTGGCTCCCCCCATGACAGACAAAGATCTGGACTGAGGTCCTGAAACACCGCGTTCTGTCGACATAGGTGCGGAGAGCACGTACCGGACAGAGCAGTGCCAAGGCTGGGTCTGCCTCCTCCAGGGGCAGCGCTTGCAGGTTCACCACCAGGTCCCGGAGGGGAGTGGTAGGAACCTTGGGCATATATCCAGGCCGGGGTCTCAGGAATACGTGAGAGTAAGCTGGCCCAAACTCCAGGCACACTTCGTCAACAGAGAGTGCGTGCAGGTCCATTCGTACCGTCGGTCAGGGAATAAAACTGGGCGCAGTGGGATGAGTCCCGGGAGGCGAACAGATCTATCTGTGCCTCCCCGAACTGGTCCCAAATCAGCTAGACCGACTGGGGATGGAGTCGCCATTCGCTGGAGATAGGACGGACCCGTGACAGATCGTCGGCTGCCAGGTTCCGGTCTCCTGGAATGTATACTGCACGAAGGGACCTCAGGTGTTTCTGACTCCATAACACTGGACGTCGTGCGCGCTCATTCCAGTCTGTGTGCTCAATGACAGTGTCAGCTTTTCCTCAACCAGCTCAAGGAGCTAGCTAGAACAAAAGATTCTCCACCGGGCCTCCGCCGGGGAAAGGAGGGGACCTGCTACCACCTCCTGAGAAAAACCATGACACTATCACTGAGCGGCCCGCCTCAGGAACACCGCTTCGCCTGGCGTTTAGCGGGGCACACGGCCTGAGGGGGGGGACACACTTACCTGTGGCCTCCTCCGCGACGCGAACCGGCTGAAGGCTGCTGCTGGGGCCGCGTGGGAGGGAAGGGAGCCGCAGGGGGGCGTCCTCGGCGGCGAGCGGGCGGAGGCGTCTGAGCCGACGGCTGGTTGGAGGCAGCAGCTGGCCGTCGGGGCAGAGAAACCGCCTTCGTCTGCTCCTAGGCGGTCGAGAAGTGCTGGGCAAAGTCCTGGACCGCACCGCCGAACATTTGGATGATGCTCCTGGACCACAGCGGTGGGCATCACCTGACCAAGGGAGTGAGCGACCGCTTCCGTGACCCGTTTAAGGGCAAGGTAGGCGGCAGGCTCGCAGCTCGCTTGGTCCGTCCTCTCCTCGTGCACATTCCTGAGCAGCTAGCTTTGTAGGTGCTCATCATATGCAGGGCGGAGGCTGCCTGTGCCGCCGCTCTACAGAATCGCGCCGCCATAGACGACGAGAACCCATAGGCTTTGGAGGGGCATCTGAGAGCAACCGCGGGTGGACGCGCCCTGCGGACGCAGCTGCATCGCAAAAGAGCGTTCCACCGGGGGAGCCCCAGCGTACCCACAGACAGCCGCATCGCCGAGGGGAGGAAGGGCGGGGAACTGAAGCACGCTCTCGTTTTTTTTTTTTTTTTTTAAGTGCGTGTCAGTTCCGCATGCAACTCGGGGAAAAAGGAAATTGGGGTTGGCCGTGGCCGTGAGGCGGCAGCGTTACCCAAAAACCAATTATCCATCCGCGAGAGATCGGGATAGGGCGGAGTTTCACCCCCACCCGATGCTCACGGAGGCCCGAGATAGCATGGCCATCATCGCGGGATCAGACACGGCGACGCCGACGCTCCCGAGGGAAGCAACGCAGCTGCATCCTCACTTCCCGAGGAGTCAAGCCCGCCTTGTGATGCTGCGATCGTCATCGCATCATTCTCTGGAGCGCTGTACGAAACAGACGGTACCTCAGAGAGGCAGACGTCTGAAGCGATACAGCGCTCACTGCCTCTAACACTGGAGCGGTGGGTGTGACCCGAGGCTTTAACTAACGTCGGGGGGAGTGTCACACATTCACCGTCATATCACCCTATCCGCGAGTCGAAGAGCTTCTATTTTTAGAAGCAGAACGAGTAACGGACACGGGGACTCTTACTATCAGATCATTGAGTCTCGATCACAGTGTAGAGATGCTCATGTTCCCCTTTAGAAGGAATATAAGTCATCCGCGAACGCTGCTACTGCATGCTGAAGCACAGGCACACACAGAGCAGCGATTGCGACCATCAGAAAATGACATGAAACGACCGCACCCAGAAGAACACGGGCGAGTCGTCTTTAAAAAGACGTGCCGCGTGCAGCTCTTTCACTTAGAGAGGAGGAAATTCACTCTTTCAGCGCTGAGGCGACCAGGGAGAAGCGCAAAGTCTGGCAGACCACTGCTCAGATCGCAGGCGATGCAGAATCTCGCTGGGTACCGCCGTCACACCAACACTGAAGAGGACGCTCGTCTCGAAGAGTCTTGAACAGTGAGAATGGCTTTCAGGAGTGAAGAGTTCTCTTGGCTCCGAAGCGAAAACATACTGCGGTTGCGTTCACTTCCTCCTTTTATACTCACGGAGTAGGGCGGAGTACGCTATGCAAATTTCCGCAGCCCCAAGGCATTGCATGCCATTGGCTCGTTTTTAAATACTCGAAGAGGATTGGCGTTCTATGCGAAACCCCCAATCTCCGTCACTTCTGACGTAACTCGAAGTGACTACGAAAGGGAACACAGTATTTTTCACACAATTTACTTATCTGTGTACCGCAGTTTTCATTGTCCAAAAAACGGGCCGATGACTTGCTTGTTTTATGAAGTCCCTTCTTCAGAAATACGTAACGAGCTCTGATAGTGTCAGCGATTCCTGTGTTGTGATTCGACAGCAGCTTATCGCACGTTACTATAAATTGGGAGATGCATCATGAGCTGATTGGTAATGTAAAATGTCAAACATATTACCATATCAATTTGAGCTGGAATCAGACTCGGAGAACATAGATGAAGAGAATCGATTAGAACCTGTTCAAACACGACTTTTGCAGGATGTTTCACAGTGGTAAGCTGTTTATTTAGTAATTGTCATACTTTTAATCGGTTAAATTGTAATGTTAAATGTTACAAACTGTTATAAAAGCTTGTGGCATATGTTTTTTTTTTCCCATCTGTCGAATTAACGATGATGTTGAATTTTTAGAAAAAGTCCATTGTTTATTCCTACCTTAGTTACACGTGTGCACAAGTTTTCATTGGTAATATATGTTTTATAGGTGTACATGTGGTAACTGCGACAAAATGCCAACAGAGGTTGAAAATATCTGCTGCAAAGAAATACAAAAAGTACTGTAACATCTCCTCATTAAATAATAATTTTTGTTGTGTATAGTTCTTTTGAAATTGTTTTCATCCAAACAACTTTATATAAATATACTTCATTTTTACCATGATATAGCTTTACAAGCTGCCATGTTTGTGTAAAAGAAATCGTTGCTATGCATTACAAAAATTTATTTGTAAAAAAATTGATAGTTACGTGATTGCACATTAAATTATTACTACCTCACATCAATAGGTTTGTCGACGAATTATCGAAAAACGATACTCTTCCTCTTCTCGGTGGGAGCTCAACAAGACCACGCCCCCTTTTTTGTGTATTCCTGTGGGCGGAGATTAGTCAAAAAACTCTACTAATTACATCAAAAAACTGTTCAAATTACGTAATTAAAAAAAGAAGTAGAGGGATGTAGTCCAAACCGACGTTCGCTGTAGGCCCTGATAAAAAGGTAGGCCCTGAGATAAAAATATCTCGCTAGGCATTCAACTTTGAGCTTTATAATTTTACAGGTATTATTTATGCTTTAACAGCAACATTACACACTAACCTAAGTTTGAAAAATGGAATTGCAAAGAACGGGACCTTTAATATTGGAGTTTATAAAAAAAATAAAACAAGATGAGACTGATTACCTCCTGTAAAATTTTTTTATTATTAATTCCACAGCGTGTGTACTGTAAATACAGACGAGTATTGACCAATGTGCCTCCTCTTTCAGTGTCCTCCTCCATCACTGTCTGTCACGTACTTTGATTTATGCTGGACAGCATACTTGGTTGCGATGCCACCTACTGTCCTACACATATGCATAACATGCTGTATATATGTATTTACATGATAAAAGTAATCTTAAAGTTAAGATATTATATCCCATAATCATTCAAATTAATTTAAAGTTTGGGCAAAAACTCCTGGCAATAATGTGTTTTCGTGTTTTATGTTTTGTTTTTTTCAGAGCGCTGAATGTCATGGTTACTGTGAAACACGGAACACCTTACTTATATGATTTTATTGTGTTAATTCAGGTGTATTTTGACCAAAAAAAATGCACTTGTGGCTTTAATTCAGAGTGCAGCAAGAGCGCAGAGCACAGCAAACATTGACTCATCACTCAAGCGATGCTGTAATATCTCAGCCTGAATATGTATACTATAGTGGCAATGCTGCTTCTGCTCTGTTCCTGCCGTGCGCCTCTTTAATGAATGTGAATGAATCCTCTAATTTGTTAACATGTGCGGCGAAAAAAACATGCGTTGCTCATGCTCTGCTTGCATATCCAGTATGAAACAGGCCTTGTTTACCCTCAACAGTCAAGTTACATTATGTTGTGCTTTATATAATACAGACTGTTTCAAAGCAGCTTCACAGTAGGCTAATAAACAGGAAACTTTTTAATGTTGCAAAATTCAATATGTGAAGAGTTCAGATGCAAAAGCCTCTAAATGCCATTTGAAATTTTCTTCTTTAATGATAATTTTTATCAAACTTGTATATTTAAGTTCAGTAATTTCACTTAAATAACAATTAATAGGTAATTATCATTGCCATTTAAGTGAAATTACTGAACTTAAATATACAAGTTTGATAAAAATCATCATTAAAGAAGAAAATTTCAAATGGCATTTAGAGGCTTTTGCATCTGAACTCTTCATATATATATATATATATATATATATATACTGTATATACACTCACCGGCCACTTTATTAGGTACACCTGTCCAACTGCTCGTTAACACTTAATTTCTAAGCAGCCAATCACATGGCGGCAACTCAGTGCATTTAGGCATGTAGACATGGTCAAGACAATCTCCTGCAGTTCAAACCGAGCATCAGTATGGGGAAGAAAGGTGATTTGAGTGACTTTGAACGTGGCATGATTGTTGGTGCCAGAAGGGCTGGTCTGAGTATTTCAGAAACTGCTAATCTACTGGGATTTTCACGCACAACCATCTCTAGGGTTTACAGAGAATGGTCCGAAAAAGAAAAAACATCCAGTGAGCGGCAGTTCTGTGGGCGGAAATGCCTTGTTGATGCCAGAGGTCAGAGGAGAATGGCCAGACTGGTTCGAGCTGATAGAAGGGCAACAGTGACTCAAATAACCACCCGTTACAACCAAGGTGGGCAGAAGAGCATCTCTGAACGCACAGTACGTCGAACTTTGAGGCAGATGGGCTACAGCAGCAGAAGACCACACCAGGTGCCACTCCTTTCAGCTAAGAACAGGAAACTGAGGCTACAATTTGCACAAGCTCATCGAAATTGGACAATAGAAGATTGGAAAAACGTTGCCTGGTCTGATGAGTCTCGATTTCTGCTGCGACATTCGGATGGTAGGGTCAGAATTTGGCGTCTACAACATGAAAGCATGGATCCATCCTGCCTTGTTTCAACGGTTCAGGCTGGTGGTGGTGGTGTCATGGTGTGGGGAATATTTTCTTGGCACTCTTTGGGCCCCTTGGTACCAATTGAGCATCGTTGCAACGCCACAGCCTACCTGAGTATTGTTGCTGACCATGTCCATCCCTTTATGACCACAATATACCCAACTTCTGATGGCTACTTTCAGCAGGATAATGCGCCATGTCATAAAGCTGGAATCTACAGTGTATATACAGTATATGTATATATATATATTATCTTTTTAAACACCAACTGAGCAAGCTACATCACGACAACAGTGGCATCGCTGTATCCATCATAAGTTTTTTGAATCAAGCTTTTTTTAAAGTTAAAATTAATTAAAATTAGTTTTGGCAAGATATGACTACTTCTATAGTTTATAGTTTGTACTATGTCTATAGTTTATGAAGTAATTTATGAAGTTACCTGTTCTGAGCATATCTTGCATGCTCAGGTAGGAGCTGATGCAGCGGATAGTTGGGACGTGGATAATTTGCAGGCTGTTTATGCCAGTGATGTAAAACCTCTGGTGGGTACACATCTATAAAGACGAGACACAGAATTCAATTTCTATACAGTTGTTATGGTTACATGATCTGCAGAGGCTACTCATTCAGGCCCACCCTAAATCTTTGTGCACAGAGTTCAGCAGATTTCCACAGAATTGGAACAGCAGTCATTCTACACCTCCCCTGCCCCATTTAGTCTTTGTTAAATATTTTGGCTAACCGAACAAAAGAATACAAGCTTTCAAAATAGTCTCTGTGGTGATCCACCAAAATGAAAAATCTTGGTGAATAACACAAACACTTTTTCTTGTAAATTAAAATAATAATAATAAATGTATATATATGAAGAGTTCAGATGCAAAAGCCTCTAAATGTCATTTGAAATTTTCTTCTAAAATGACCATTTTTATCAAGCTTGTATATTTAAGTTCAGTAATTTCACTTAAATGGCAATGAAGATTACCTATTAATTGTCATTTAAGTGAAATTATACCAGCTCCAGGGGGCGAAGTTGCATCCAGATCTAAGGTATTTGTAAAATGCCCTGGACCCGCAGTATGTTCTTTCTCGCTCTAGATTCCGGGAGATTTTAACTAATTTGCAGGCATCAGGGAGACGCCATCAATATGCAGGAGACTCCCGGATCTTCCCGGATGTCTGTGCGGGAAACCCTGATGAAAGCCTAACAGCTTGGATAACGTGCACAATTGTGTTATAATTCAAAAACTTTATTGTTCATTAGACAAAACAAAAGCATTTCATTTTCAAATGTGTGTAAGCCGCGAGAAAGATTGCATATATAGATGTATCATTTTTAAATATATATAAAAGCAATATTCCAATAGTAACTTCAGCATTCAAATAGTATTGGTTTTTTAAATATTCGAATTATATTCAAATTTCGGCCCTACACGAGACATATGGAAAACATAGGAACAATGGAATACAGTTTTTTAGGTTATTGAAATGGACACAGCATCAGGGAGAGTATCTGACGAGGAGACGCTGGATTGCATGGTTGGCTGATGCCTTTAGTATACGATTTTTACTGTTTGCTGTGCCTTAACGAACATACGCAAAAGTGTTGTTTGTGTGCCTTGTTCATTACTTTTTTATTTCTTTGAAATAAATGTTTGAAACAACTTGATATGGCTTAACAATATTTATTGAGAACTGAAATATATGTATATTCGGACAATATAAGTTTCATGGACAACATAAGTAATAATAATTAAATAATAATACTGTTATTAGTGCAAAAGAGCAAATATCTTGATGCTGCTTCTCCAAATACAATACAGTTGTTTTGCGCTTTGTGTGAGTTTGTTCCTGTAAGGTCCCTTTTCTTTCGCCTTATCTTTTTGCATTGCTTTACTTTCTTCCTTTTATCTCGTATTCTTAGATCCGTCTCTGTCCTGCCAAAATAATAAATGTGCGAAAATAATAAATGCGCGAAAATTAAAGAGCTCTGGAATGTTTAGTCACGTCTCTGTGGGGTTCTAACATTGGGTTCTAAAGGCGTTGCCGCTGGTAACCGATAGCGTCTCCTACCATCATGGCCGACCGGCTCAGATTTGGCACGTGACTCCTCATTCTCAATTCTCGAGTCTTTCATAATCATATCATAATAATTTTGCGCAATGAAAGATTATGAAATGCCTTTTTTGTTCTGTTCTGTCCTATCTATCATAAGTTGCTGCCTCATTAAAAAGCTGAGCTATACATTTGTGCTATATTTATTTTCTTAGTAGACTATAAAATAATTGGGCCCCCCCAGACCCCCCAAGAGGAGTAATATCCTTCTCACCTTTTTCACCCCGACCTGTTTTCATGTGTGATGAAACACAGGTGTAAATTCATGATACATTGTCTTCTCTTAAATGTAATCCTTAATGTACATTGTTGTTAAATATAGTTTAATAATAATGCTACATGATAAATAGAAGGCTTCAAATAGACTCGGTATCGGTATCGGGTGATACAGCTTCCAGCAATCGGTGATCGGCCCCAAAAATCCTGATCGGAGCACCCCTAGTACATTCGGGTATTAAAATATGAAAACAATTTGTAGGGGCTATAGGTTGAGTCTTTACAAGTTGAGGGGCTACAAGTTTATCAGTAAACTTGTAATTATGAATATGAAATTTGGTCAAGCACTTCTCACGCAAAACAACAACAAAAAAGTATCCACAGAATTTATAAAGCACAGGCCTCTTATGACATAGACCAGACAATGGAGGTGTGTGTGGTGCAATTTTTTATGCAGTGTGGTGAATGATTGATTACAGACCAGGTGGGATATAAAGTGAAAGTGAAGCTTGGCGATTCTGTGGCATTACTATTCTATAAATATATTTATAAAGACTCATTAAGACTTATACTGCATTACAAGGAAATTTTATAGTTATATTTGTATTATTTTTACTTATGAGTCATGCATTTGCTTTTTCAATGTGCATGCTGATAATCCATTATACACTGATTTGTAAATATTAATTAGTCAGTCGTATGGTTCCATTAATTTATTTATGAAGATAAAACCTGCAATGCTATAATGTTTTAATGTTATAGTTACATTGACTTTTTTAGTAATTAAGATTTATTTCAAATAAGTAAATATATACTGTTATTAATAGCTGTTTTGTGTTCATATAAATATTTTTAATTTAATAAAAGAATAATTGTGTGATAATACAGTTACTAAGCTCAATAAATGCATAATTGATGGCTTTCAGTAAAGTGAAAATATTGGATACAATTTTCCTAAAGCAAATGTTAAGAAATCTTGAAGATGTGCTCATTATACATTAAGTTTCAGCTATGCAATTTATTCTAAAAATGCTACCAGTAATATGGCTGAGGATATTTAAAAAAAAAAATCTAAATTACCATTCATGACCTCTAATGCAAACATTATTAGCCCTCAAAGACATAATTGATAACTTTGGTGCAGCAAAAAGTGTCTCAGGAACTATTTTTTATTTGATCATTTATAAATCAGTGTATAATCCATTATGAGCATGCACATTGCAAAAGCAAATGCAAATGCATGAATTATAATAACAAATAATATAAATGTAACTAGAAATTTTCTTAAAATTAGTCTTAAATCTTAATAAATATATTTATAGAACAGTAATACTTAATATAAATAGAGCTATAATTCATTCAGCCTGGACTTCATAGAAAGTGTTACTATAGTTCCCTTTCGTAGTCACTTCGAGTTACGTCAGAAGTGACGGAGATTGGGGGTTTCGCATAGAAAGCCAATCCTCTTCGAGTATTTAAACACGAGCCAATGGCATGCAATGCCTTGGGGCTGCTGAAATTTGCATAGCGTACTCCGCCCTACTCCGTGAGTATAAAAGGAGGAAGTGAACGCAACCGCAGTATGTTTTCGCTTCGGAGCCAAGAGAACCTCTTCACTCCTGAAAGCTATTACAAGACTCTTCGAGACGAGCGTCCTCTTCAGTGTTGGTGTGACGGCGGTACCCAGCGAGTTTCTGCATTGCCTGCGATCTGTGCAGTGGTCTGCCAGACTTTGCGCTTCTCCCTGGTCGCCTCAGCGCTGAAAGAGTGAATTTCCTCCTCTCTGTAAAAGAGCTACACGCGGCACGTCTTTTTAAAGACGGTTCGCCCGTGTTCTTCTGGATGCGGTCGATTTCTGTCGTCATCTGATGGTCGCGATCGCTGCTCTGTATGCCTGGGCATTCAGCATGCAGCAGCAGCGTTCGTGGATGACTCATGTTCCTGCTATGGGGACATGACCATCTCCACACTGAGGTTAAAAAAAAAAAAAAAAAAAGATATATATATATATATATATAAAAAAATTATATTTTATATATAGAATATATATTTTTATATATATATATATAAAAAAAAAAAAATCTCACTAGAGTGAGAGCCCCGGTCCCCCTTACTCGATCGGCTTCCTTCACGAAAGGGGGCCCGTCGACCGGGGACCCGGCGAATTAACGGTGACGGTGTGGCATAAAGCCCCGACGATTTCTCGGGCCACACCTCCCGCCTCAGTGCGTGAGCCAGCGAGCGTTAGTTCGATTCAGTCGGCTGCCTCTTCAGTGTTACCGGCTGCTTCGAGCAGCGCTCCAGATGATGATGTGATGTCGATCGCAGCATCACTAGGTGGGCTACAGTCCTCGGGAGATGAGGATGCGGCTGCACTGCCCCCTTCGGGAGAGCCAGCGCTGCCCGTGTCGGATCCCGAGCTGACGGCATGCTGTCTCAAGCCGCTGGGAGTATTGGGTTAGAGTGGCATCCTCCATTCTCCCCCGATCTCTCACGGAGGGATAATTGGTTTTTGGACAAAGCTGCCGCCGCAAGGCCACGGCCAACTCCATTGCCTTTTTTTCCCCGAGCTGCATGCGGAGTTATCGCGCTCTTGGGGGACTCCTCTGTCCACTCGAGAGCGCGATCTCTCCCCCGCCTTTCCCCCTCGATGGGGGGGCCGCCCGTGGGTGCACTGGGATGCCCCCGCTGGAGCGTTCTGTTGCGATACAGCTGTGTCCACAGGGCGCCTCCTCCGTGGTCCTCCTAGGCACCCATCCAAAGCCTGTAGGTTCTCGTCTGCCATGGCGGCGCGTTCCTATAGAGCGGCGGGACGGGCGGCCTCCGCTTTGCATGCGATGAGCACTGTGCAAGCGCAGATGCTCAGAGATATGCTCGAGGGCGGGACTGATCCAACGGCATTCGAAGATTTGCGGTCCGCCACTGACCTTGCTCTCCAAAAGGGCAACGAAAGTGGCCGCTCGCGCCGTTGGTCAGGTGATGGCCACTAGTGTGGTCCAGGAGCGTCAACCTGGCAGACACTCGGAGCGCTGAGCGGATTCGTCTGCTCGACGCCCTTCTCTCCCAGGTTGGCCTTTTTTGGCGGTGCAGTCGAGAACTCTTGCCCAGCAGTCTCCACTGCCCAGGAGCAGACGGAGGCAATCAAACATGTTCTGCCCCGACGACCAGCTGCTGCCTCCACCCAGTCGTCGGCTCAGATGCCTCCCGCTGCTCGCCGCCGAGG